GCTGGAGCGTGGATGTGTGGTGGACTGGAGGAAAAACGAGTGGCGCATTCGGCGCCACGCGAGGTCGAGGTGGGAAAATATGGGGGCGCTATGGCGGTGCACAGCTACGCCAATGAAAGACTTCGGATGATGATGAGTGACGGCTTTCTCTCGTCTTTTTCAGGGAGTCTGGAGCGGCCCAGCTCCACGTTGACGGTAGCATTACAACGGTCTGTCTCACTTTTCCACGCTGCTTGTTGATCTTGAAGCGGTCAGTGGCTGGCGATTGTCTTATACAAGCTGGAGTTCTGGACTCTTGACGTTGCAAAGGCGCTTGACTTGACTCCATTGAAGGGACCTAATCAAGGTAAGTATGAACAAGAAATAATAGCACCTACTGCGTAGAGGACTGGCACACTGGGAAACGTTCAAAATATCCGACCACCGACCCAAGGTAGATTGGGTACGTACCTGGCGTTCATCTTCATGACTTACATAAGGTTTGAGGCACGTGCCCTCATGAATCCCATCGAGCTGAGTAAGGCACTGAACTTTGAAGACAACGGGTGAGATGAGTAAGAGAAGTAAGATAGTTGATGGAAAAGCGTACGGCTGGAAAAGAGTACACATCGTACCGAAGCCTGACTGAGGTATTCCTAGATCAACCATTCTTGACGTGAACGTACAGTAGTATGGTACTGCCAATGTTAGGATGCCCCTGCTGGATGTTCGTCCAAACCTTATCCTACTTCAGCCTCAAGTTCTCCCAGCTCTCAGTCATCCCGACTTGGACCAACGTTGCTTCTGAGACACGTCAAATTCAGTCGGTTGCAGCTTGTTTACTCTGACATGGCGTGAGCAAAAGGCTTCGAATGAGGGGTAATGATTGAGAATCTTCGTTTTCATGGAAAGTAAGATACGTTCACATCCCCGTTCGACTGACATTCATGGACAAGTACGCAAGACTTTGTCTGTCAATGTCGTGGCACCCACCCAATGTTGTGGTACACTATCCTCGACAGCCTCACTTGCCCCAAGTATATGAGACTTATGAATGTTGGCACCCGTTTCTTCATGCTGCCCTCATGCTCACTCTCACGCACGTTCTCATCGGGGTTCTGTAAATTGGACGACCCTCTCACCCTGTGTTTCCATGCACAGTGCAGATAGTCTGTCAATCATCCCCACATTTCTTTCCCCTCTCACCTTCATTGTGGCTTGACAACCGGAAGCCACAGTCTCCGACTTTTGCTTCTCACTGTACGTGGCTGCCTGATTGATGCACCGCAGCGCGCCAAGTCTTTGGTGATACCTTCCACCTCCACGTCTTGCTCTCCAACCTACTCCTTTGAACCCAACGAATTCCATCACCCTCAACATCCCCGCCATCCTTTCCGTTCCGCGGGGCTAATGCTTCTTGTCATACGTGTCACTGCAAGATCACCACATCCTTTCTGCATCAGACGCCCCCAAAATTGACCGGCCACTATCCTTCTACGCCCATCCGAAGCAACTCATAGATGCTGCGACTAGCACAACCGCCGTTTTCTTGACCCACTTCATTCCAACTCATTCATTGAGAGCTGCGTCAAAACGTTTCATCAAGACTCTGTCGAAAGAATAGGGCCGACGTACTCACCAGTAACGTCGCACCGGAAGTCTTTCTGCTCGAACCCCAATTACCTGCTGCAAGGCTTCGTCTGAATCGGCTCTTGACGTGCCGTCGATGCAACGGCCCTCCAGCTGCGAGATAACGCCGCTTCGAGTTCTCACGCGGCTAGCTGCGTATTCTCCCATCTGATAGACCACGGAAATTTGTTCTTAGTTGTCGAGTATACGGGACTTGCGCAGCCATGACAACACCGTCCGTCTGGCGACGGCTGCCTGTGCCTCCTTCAGCCGATCTGCCCAACCTTTTGGTATCGACAACATTCACAACTACATCATACACAATCTTTGTTACAGACCTTGCCAACATATGGTCTGAATCGTTGGATCGGCGTGCAATCTACAAGCGCAGCCTCAATGAGTCCACTAGTATCGACCCGACGGACAGCGACAGCAACATGCGAGCATTCATGTCCAAGATTCAATCTGTCTTTGATCCAAGCCACCGAGACCATGGAAAAGCATCCATGTCGATATCAACACACTCTAACAAGGAAGCTGGGGAGCAGGGTCTGACATTGAGTATTACTTGCGAACTGGATAACATGCAACCTCTAGAATGGCCGATGTATCTGCAAAAGTGTTCCCAGTCAGAACTCACGACAGAACTTGTCGTACCCCTCGCACAAGCAAACTCTGTGAGCCGCCGGCGAGTGGAGTCCCTTACAGAAACCATCAAGCAGAAGGATGCCGTTATCATGAAGCTTCTGGACAAATTAGAAGCTACTGGGACTCGCCTTGAGAACGTTTTCGCCGTCTTGTCAGCAAAACAGAAGCCCACGAGAAAGATGGCAGAGGAAAAAGTCAAGGGTTTGGCTCCCTTTTCTCTCGAGGATTGGAAGGCGCAGTCAGACCACGGCCCGGAGGACGTTCTCGGTGCTATTGAGAGTGTCTTTGGCGGCGATGGACTCGAGTATAGTCGCAAGGCTGACATGGACACCGCAACTCCTCTTGACGACTGGTGGGCCAGGCCAGAGGCGTTATGTATTCCGATTGTGGGACCCAAGTCGAGGTCCCGTTCAAGCCGGCCGGCAATGTCGCCTCCCGAATCCGAACGAGAGGGGCATGGTCACAGCGAGCGGGCAAACAAGGGGATTGCGGGAGAGGATCAGGATGATGATTTTCAAGTGCAGTCGACGCCTCCCCATCTTGTGCCCGCCCGGAAACGTTCCGTCCCGCCGCCCTCCGGACGCGACGACGATAGCACTGAAGACGAAGACGAATCCCACATTCCAGACAGCGTACCTGTACCTCCTGATGAACCTATCATTCAATCTAGCCGCCTGGGTACGATAGGAAAGAAAGGCCAACCTGCAACAGCAACGAGGTCTTCAGGTCTGAAAGATCCTGTGCCAGCTGCTCCAGGCTCGGATACTGAAACGGCATCTGAAGACGAAAGTGCATTATCGGTAGTTGAGATCTCGCCACCACCGAAGCCTGGCGCGAGTAACTTCAAAGGGGGCTTGTGTCGTATCGGCGATGGTCGTGCCAGTCGCTCAAAGACTCCAGAATCTCCGAAGAAGGGGGCTTTAGGCCGCATTGGTGGCGACCGTCAACCTTCTAAATCGCCAGAGCCATCTAAGAAGCCTGTTTTGGGCAGGATAGGCAGAGGCGCGCGCCCATCGAAGACTCCAGAGCCGAAGACCGAAGATGCGGAAATCAGGGGAAGGTCTGGAGCGGACGAGGAGCCTTCGGTGAAGCCCAGGGAGACGTCACAGGAACGGGCAGATCGGAAACGAGATGAACTACAACAAGAGATACAGAAAAAGGCCACGTCGGGACCAGCACGGAAGAAGCGGAAGTTCTAGATCGACCCTAGTCTCAAGTCTTACATCTCTATGCCACTCGAAGCTACCTCACCACTGAACATCTTTCCGGCCATTTGGCAGTACTGCAATGAGGTGATATCGAAAGCGATGCCGGCTGCTATCTTTAGACGGACAATACCCGACTGGTAGCCTACTTAGGAGAAGAAGTCATCAGCGTAACAAGGCTATTCTCGAAATAGATATAGACATGCCGTCGGACCGGGAATTAAGGTGGACGAAGTGTTCGGGAATGTATTCGATGCGGATTGCCTTACACATGAGACACCCTCTGGCTCGGATTCCGGTTTAGAACTACTTCATTCTTCTCTCAAATCTGATAGCCTTCAAGACGTGGCGCAAATTACTCCACACGAGCCATGCAAGGACGCTTGATAAAGGACCGAAAAGATTTACACGTCGTTAGCTCGTTTGTCCGACTTAGGATGTTCGTTTCCGGAGCCCCGACGTTGAGCAGCAGAATCTTGCATACCTCCGTGTGGTTTCCTTGAGAAGTTCGCAACTGCATCTTCCTCCGAGGTTATACCTGGAGCTGAAGCGAGACAGGCCGAGCTTGTACAACAGCAGAAACGCGTCTGGCCGTGCCGCGGATCACGTACATTATTTCTAGAAGCCCAGTGACAGATCAGAAACAACTGTCATGTCTCAATCTCGAGACTTTATGTCCCATTGCGATACCCAGCCAACGGCACGTAACGTATTTCAACATCAAATGGAATGAGAGGACGAAACGTTGCAGCCTTTTCAACGCAAGACCGTCTAGACGATGAATATTGCTCGTGGACATCGTTCCACTTCAGCATGGACATGCCGTTCTATTTATGACACCTCCCGATGGCAAGGTGGCACCAGGTCACACATCGGCAGTCGATCCAGAAGGCTCGTCTTGTTCTTGAGAAGCGCAAAGTAATACCGAGACGCATCTCAAGATACCTTTCCCCCACGTGGCACTCATAAACATCTTCAACCGGCGTACCGCCCTTCAAGTTCGATACAACTCAACGGGAGGTCTCCGCCTTGTTAGACGTTGGACTGTGCAACACTAGTTCCTCAGTTTGGCAAACCGCGCCCATTCTCGGGAAATCTCTCGCGCATCTTAACGGCGCGGCCCATAAGCGGAAAGTAATATTCGTTGTAAGACGAAGTACAGAGAAGCGCTCGTCTATTCCGTCTGTCGGCTACAGTGACACGCCTGCGGCTATGGAGCATTGTATTCAACGAGACGTAAAACCTTGTATACGATATCATGCCAAAGGAAGCCATTCGCTTTGATGCATTGCTCAGAGACGACACCGGTCAAGGGACGGTGCATGATCTGGGTTCCGACCAGCTGCCCGAGGCCGCGGCCCGCGATGCGACCTTGCAGCGTTGCGGGACAGATTTCTTTCTCATACGTTTGGCGATGTAACATGTAGCAATAAGGCTTCGAGATTTCTGCAATGAAGCTTGGCAGTTTACGTCCGCATTTCCGCAGAAGCAACTGTCCTTGAACGCCTCAAGTTTCAACGGGGCAGATGCATCACGACCATGCCAATGCTGCATCGGGATGATGCCCCGGTGGCTCGTCCCGTCGACCGGGCAGGACTTCTCAGGGCACAAAGTTGTGCTCTTTCGCCCGTAAGATCGCACGTAAGAAGACGGGAAACCTGCCGTCGTGAGTGGGTGACTGCTTTAGCGAGCCCACACGTCAGCTTCTGCTACAACCCAAGGGCTTATCGGAGCTTTCTTTACGGACGTTATAATTCAACGACTTGTCTTCGACCTGCGTGCCATTTTTTTCTTTCCTAGCATTTGAGCTTAACGGCCGAAGGCAAAGCCATCGGTTGAGGAACATTGCCTTGGCCAGCCAGAATCAAACTCAAACGGCCGTTCTCAACCGGCCAGCGCTGGTCTGCAGCTTCGCGATGGCGAAGATTCAACGTGAATCACTGAATGATTGGTGCAGATCGATACACGGGCATAATTCTTGTCGCAGGATATTGGCTCGAGAAAAGAAAGCGCCTCGGTGGCATCAATCACCGGAGTGCCATCGGAATGGCAAACTGAGGATACCACAGAATGCTATCGAAAGATCAAATGAAGCGTCTCCGAATCGACTTGAGAGGCGTAAAGTCGGCTAAAAGGCTTTGAAGATGACATTGAACAGGAGAAACTCGGTGCGGTCATTCATCGCCACCAGCGTCTCCATGCCGTGAGTGCGCTCGACGATTATGAGGGAGGGATTGAAGATTGATTGAGAGGATGCTTCTTTCTCGACGGAAATAAGATTTCAGATTTACGGACTGCTGCATTACGCTGCATCAACTAACCGCGGTCCGGACGGACATCAAAGGACTTCTGCAGGCTGTTCAAGCATACCCGACAATGTAAGCCGATGGCGCCGTGTGTTCGAGTAGTTGCTCTGCACGCTGCGGGTTGACGATCCTCGCCAGCGTGGCCTGCGCATCAGACGGGAAGATTCAAACACATATCCCAGGAGAGGGCCGCCCGCGGCACGGAAACTCGACCGGAGCCATAGATATGGGCCGAGGGGCCTGCGGCTTTCCTTCGAGGATGTCGATCCCGCGCCGCTGTGCAACGCAATGAAGCATAAGATGCGATGTATACATGTTCCTTTGAAGTTGCACTCAAGCCTGTCACCCGGGAAGCAGCATATAGGCTACTCCTGTGCGGGTTCTCGAGGCGAAAGCTATGGATCTGCCAACTTCATCTGCGTGACCCAGAAGCCAGTGATCTCAACCTTTCTAGGATGAATCGGGTTTTAAGGAACAAGGACTTAACGTCAATTTCGGTCCACACAGCACGGATCCCGTGCCCATGTGTGGGAGAGCCGAATGGCGGTGGACGACATTGCAGACACGGTTTCTGGGCGCTGGCTCCCCCCCAAAGTTCATCATCACCGATCAATGCCGTGCGCTGTGTGACAGACCATTCATGGACTTACGTCCGTACTTGGCAAGGAGAGCGAAAAAAATGGCCGGGAACTCGTCAGAACTGCCATCTCGATAATCAGAGATCCAGGATCTATCACAAAATTCAGCCATCGAACTCTCGATTTTGTGACGAGCGGCTCTTGGTAGAATAAGTCCTCGGCGAGCCACGGTGGTGTGCGATAATCAAGCTGGAGTCCAGGACTTGTGGAAGCACCCCCCTCATGTTTGAACGCAAAGAGGTCTGGCGAGTTGGTATCTGTGCCGCCGTATCTGTACCGCGGGCCCCATCTGGATTGTTGGACCAACGAACAAAAGTCGAGTCCTGGCCAGGCACGCGTGTCTCCTCCGGCGGGATCTGCCCCCACCAAACCCGAGAGCCAGGGTATAGTTGCCTGTCTCGCAACCGTCTTTGCAATGACAGTGGATAGACCGTTGGAGGTGCTCAACTGTGGACGAGGAAGGACTAGCGAGAAAAAAACGGCGTGCTAGCTCGCCCGGCAGGACGGCTGTCAAATCTGTCAACCGCGCAGCCAGTCGACACCACCTTTTGCTCGACTGTATTGGCACATGTGGGGGATGGGCGACTATGAGCGAATCATCTCGGCACCCACGAGCCCCCGCCTAGGTTGGGATATCGTCGTAATTGTGCTCTTTTGGCGTTTTCCGATCACCCAACGAGTGCCGTTTGACATCTTTTGTTCCCCCGATCACTTATCCGAAGATTCGAAGCCGTTGGCGCGGGGTTCTCGCACCTATGAACGTGCCAGGTTAGGGATGGTTGTTGGAAACAACCCCCCAGGAGCCAACCTTGCAAGCGTGATCTGTCCACCGCTGGCCCTGGACTAGACTAGTTGTCTCCTCAGCCTTTTTGAAGAGATGTCAACACGAGGGTCAAGGACGGGAGGCATAGCGACACAGCACAGATAGCCGTACCAAGATCGCGTCTCTAGGACTCGACCCAAGGGAAGCTTGAAAGAGGGCAAAGGTTGCGAGTTGTCGTTGGTTGTTGGCCGTTGCTACTTGGGTGTTTCTAGTGACAGTCTTCGCGCTGGTGACTCGAGACCCAAGCCTTGACAGACCAGGGGGGTTCATTCGAGGGAACGACGGTCGCGTTGGGCGGACCTCTTGGACGGAGCGGAGGAGGTGTCCGAGGCGGCGAGGTGTTTCCGCAAAGAGGAATGCAAGAGGTCGGAGAGGGGGGTAAGAAGGATTTCCACTTGTACCTGGCACTTCCAGGTTAAAAAGTGGATGATTTGTGGACCATGTCCATCGGACGTTTGCCCGTCCCCCCGCCGCAAAGAATGGGAAAAGAGGAACGCCCAAGAGAGAAAAGGCAAGTCTGTTTCAACGACGTGCGTCTTCTGGTGAGCCAGACCTAACAGACATACCAGACAGGCCATCATTTGGTGTTGGCGGACTCTCGTCAACTCCGACTTGGGGGGCGGTGACAACCTCTTCAACATCTCAGACGCTTATTTTACCCTTAGGGTTTGTTGCATGCCGCCGCAAACAATTACCGGCGGTCAGTCAAGGCTTTATCGGTCTATCGATCCTTTTGCCTGCATCTCATGTGGCACAAGATGTGCCCCAGACATTGGGCCTACATCAAAGAAGCTGGATCGCTCAGCGGCATCTAATTTGAGCGTGGCTTTTGCTTGGGAATCTTGGATGACTGGACTGGGCCCCCCCTTACTCACAGTCTCACACAGCTCACATCTATGCCAGTCTTGCGCCTCAGCTGTTATGCAGACTATGAACAATGGCACATCGTATTACTGTGTAAGGTATCTCGTCCCAGTATCAGTGCGGGACAAGTACCCATGACACCCTCAACCGTTGGCCATATGACCGTGCGACTGCGGGTTTTCTTTGTCAAACCAGCCACTCGAGGGGTCGACAGTCCTGCAAAGACAGATCCGGCCTGCCGTGCGGCTTCCGGGGAACCAGTCAGCAGCTCGCGCCCAGCTTCGTGGCTTGCCGGTTCTCTTGGCTCGATGCCTCGAGTAGAAGAAAGATGGGGGCCATTTGGCCACAGTCAGGGACAGGGATACCTTCGCGACATAACTTGACGCTGCGACGGGCCTACCCTACTAACGAGGCCGTATTGTGCGCTGCGCCGCTGGCCTCGGGTTTTGTCAGTCGACGTTGCCAGTGTTCAGAAGATTGATAAGTTTTTGGCGCAAACCCGGCTTAAAGCCACCCAAGATATACAGATTCCCGACGAGGGCACCCCCGCCTTGAGGACATATGCAGAATACGATGGCTTCTTCCAGTTCCAGTTGCGAGTCTGACCCCTGGAATGGTGTTGTGAGATCAGTCCAAAAACGCACCCTAGCCTTTGAGAAAGAGGCACGAAGAGGGTGCTTGAGCAGGGTGTGAGCAAACTGCCTACCAAGAGAGGGCAGTGGGGCCCAACAACCTCGTCTCGAGTCCAACTACCTGCTCCATGGTCCATGGGCTAGCTAACCAGCTAGTGTGGTTCTTGTTCATCCCAGGACCTTGGCATGGCCACACCTACCACCTAGATTCCACCTCGAACGAGCAGAAGTCCGGGATTAACGAGCAGAACTCCGGGTTGGGAGACGCCATGTACCAGGACCAAGACGCCCATCAGTCCCTAGTCTCGACCCGAGGGCTCGGTAACCAATGATAGAGAAAGAAGCGAGAGTCACAACCCTCTTATCACCCTTCAATGACAGGCTCTGTGGACAAGCATGACGTTCACCCAGGGCGCGGCAGGACAAGTGGTTCGCCAGTTATTCGCCATTGCTGCATGGCAAAAATCCCCGGCAGGGTTATACGCGGTCTCGCGGAAGTCGGGATCGCAGAGCGGCTAGTCCTGTTACATTCAAGCGTCTATCATACCCATCTCCTCCTCTCGATGTGCTGCAGATAAAGGAGGAAATCCAAAGACGTCTTGCATGAGTTGTTGCTTCTCCAACGGGCGTGCGTGAAAGGGAGATGGCCCTCATCTCGACAAAGAGACTACGGAGCCATCCTCTCGTCGGCCTCCTCTCCACCCCCGCGATGCGACATGCGGAAGACACAGACGGGTTGACAATGCTACGAGGAAAAAGAAAGCGGCAGACATTTGACAAATTGACGCGACGTTGGGCCCTGAAGAACTCTTTCCCCTCAGAGGGGTGTGCTACCACGCTACCTACATTCACCGCTGATGGCCTGGCTTGGGCGACAACCTCGTCGCCTCCGCCTCCTCCGCCGCCGAGCCTTGCCGCCCAGTAGTCCAGGCCGATCTGAACCGGGGCGACTGTCGTTGTTGTCGTCGTCTACAGGACCTATCATGTCTTATCGCTTACCCTAATGACTATCTGCCCGCCTAGTTCTAGCGTGCCCTGATGCAATGAGGGCTGCGCTTTGCGAGGCTTTGATCTCCGACCTCACAGGGCGAAGGAAGTAGATTGGGAGTATCCAATGCAAGGGCCGCATGGCTACGCATGGCTATGGAGCGCGGCGCTGCGGCAGGCACATCAAGCTCCATCCTGGCGATCCCCGATACTCGGGGCTTGCTCTTCTCCACATTCCCACGACGTTCGAGGAAACCCGATGTGTTCTTCGTAGCAAACCGCCCACGCCCCTGGTGCGTTCGTTCCATGGCATCTCTTCATCTCAAATCCTCTGTGTCCGAGGAGTAAGGAGGCCTTCCCGCCTGCCTGGCTTCAGTCACCCAATCCAGGTCAGGGATCTGGGAGGAGAGGGTGAAGGCTGACGAGGGACCTAGTGCGAGAGATGAGGAGGAAATAGAAGCTTTGTGACGATCCCGTCGTCTCATTCAACGGCCAGGTCTGACGGGACCCGCAGCTGGGTACGCTTTCCTTGACTTACCAGGCTCACCTA